TTTTATAGCTTGCTGACATATTGTCGGGAGAAGGAAGGGGTTGAGGGTTTAGGGTTGAGAGTTCTAGGGTTTATAGCTTGCTGACATATTGTCGGGAGAAGGAAGGGGTTGAGGGTTTAGGGTTGAGGGTTTTAGGGTTTATAGCTTGCTGACATATTGTCGGGAGAAGGAAGGGGTTGAGGGTTTAGGGTTGAGGGTTTTTAGTTTAGGGTAAATGGTTGGGTTTAGGGTTTAGGGTCTAGGGTTTACGTTATACGGTTGGGTGTAGAGTGTAGTGGTCTAGGGCTTTGGGTTTAGGCTTCAGGGTCTGTAGGCTTTCGGATTTTGCCCACCTTCGCCCCAGGGGAAGGTCTTTGAGGGCCCAGGAGTGCTTGGTCTTGAAATTCCCCTAAGGGTCCATGTACCCAAATAGTATATACTTTGGCCTTAAAGTGGTCCCTATATAGGTACTTTGGGGCCAATGTATATACTATATGAGTACATGGACCCTCAGGGTTCTGGACAAGGGCACATCGCAGGTTGTTTAGTAGGAAATTCGATCCCGGGCTGTGAGGTCCGGACCTGCAACCTACCTTTACCGTAAATCAGCCCGGGTTTTAGTTAGCTTGGAGGTCTGAGGGAGGGCCTGGCATGGAATACTCGATGTAGCTTGAGAAGTGGGGTGTAGATATGGAAAGAAGCGCCTTGGATAAGTAAAAGCAGCCGGGTCCTTCAAGCAGAACTTTCTATATCGGCACTCGTAAGTAGCAATGCTGACCAGTTTGGCCTGGTCCCTGTTACCTGAACATGGGCCCAGCGTTTGTTAATCTTCCAGAAGAGCCTCGGGCAATGAATGCTTTGAGCACCGGCCGAAATGTGCCGTGTAGTGACACGAAAATTCAGTTTCTTAACCGTACAGATCCCGAATCAGCACCCATGCCCATCAGCACCAGCATGCATCCATGACCTTTTGTAAGCAAGACTGCTTGCCAGAGGCCTAACCTTCGTGCATGATCCCTCGAAGATGAAATCCTCCAGCAACACCCCAAGAATCGCAGGCAACAGATCAAAATCTGTCAGCCGAGCTGAGGGTTTGAGGATAGGTACATTAATTACATCTTCCATCCAAGGCATCGACTTCCACCACCTCCTGAAGATCAAGCAGCTGGCACGCTGCCAAGCCACCAAACTGAACCCTGAATGCGGAACCTAAAGCACTGTAGCTACCTTGCATCTTGACAACCCAAATTGGAGGATGTGGGTCTTCAGAGATTGGCATCCTCGAGGGCTTGTAGGGTTTAGGGTTAAGGGTTTAGGGGGGTTTGGGGTTTCGCTTTGGGAGTAGAAAAACCTCAACACAATCCACTCGATTGTTGCACCGCCTAACCGTTCCCGAATCCCGAACCCTACCTGCCCGCCTACAGAAACGTAAAGGGAAACCCTAAACCCTAAACCCTAAACCCTAAAACCCAGAAATGTTGAGTTTTCCATGCCAGACTGGAGAGGCGACGGCAAAATCTCGACAGCAAAAGGACCGTGGAGTCTCCGACTTGACCCTAAGGCCCTAAACCCTGTATCCCTAAACCCTAAACCCTAAACCCTAAACCCTAAACCCTAAACCCTAAACCCTAAACCCTAAACCCTAAACCGTAACCTTAGACGAAACCAGCCGCAAACCCAACCAGGCATCTATGGGCTTGAGCTCAGGCTCAAGGCATTCTGGGCCACCTATTTTTCGCTTCCCTGAACCCTGAACCCGAACCAAAAATCCTAAACCCTTAACCTCAACCCCAGACCTTACACCCTAAACCTTAATTAATCCTAAGCCTTCAACTGCAGGCCGTAAAACCCAGACCCTAAAACTTCAACCGTAAGGTTGGCTCATAAGGCATTGGTTTTAGGGCCCGTGGGTTTAGGGTTCAGGGCTTAGGGTTTAGGGTTTAGGTTTTTCGGCAGACTGTAAACCTCAAAAAATGCTTCTCAGAGAGGGCTCCAAGGGCTGGCTTTCACCAAAGCCTCTGCCAGTTGGGCCGCAACGAGAAGATCCGGCAAGAGAAGCTCCCTGACCGCTACCGCGCCTCGGATCTCATCCCATTAAACCCTAAACCCCAAACCCCAAACCCTAAACCCTAAACCCTAAACCCTAAACCCTAAACCCTAAACCCTAAACCCTCAACCCTCAACCCTACCCTAAACCCTAAACCCCAACCCCTGAGCTCTAAACCCTGAACCCTAAAGCCTGAACCGTAAGCCCTAACCCCCTAAACCCCAAGAAGCCCTAGGAGCCTCCAGAATATCCAACATTATCCGGTTAAGGTTTAGGGTTTAGGGTTTAGGGTTTAGGGTTTAGAGGCCTTTTGAGCTTTCTACTAGAATTTTAGTAGAAGACACCCCGAAGCTTTATTCTAATTCTTAAGACCCCCTGCATTACACGGTTTAGGATTCAGAGTTGGGGTGTGCAAGTTCTTTCAAGGTATTGAATTGTCCAGAATCGGTGACGATTCTGGTGCTTTAGGGTTCAGGTGTTTGAGGTTGCCCGGTGCATCACCACTCTCAAGAAGGAGGGAGTCTGGCCCTCGAAGAACAAGAAGACCGCCGCCGCTTGGGGCATTCAGCCCTTCCCAAGCTTGTGGTCGCGGTCGGCCTCGCAAAAAGAGCCCATGAATTTCATCGGCACGGTGACAGACATGCTCTATGACAGCAGCCATCAGTGCAGAGACGATGCAACAAGGCCGCTTGGGTATAGTGGAAGCGAAAGGAGGGCATTTGTTCAAAACTGGCCTTTATACGGGATGAACGTTCAAATCATCGAAATCATGCTCGGCAGTCCCAAACTCGATCTTAAGGCTTCGGGTTCAGGCTCAAACCCAACGGTTTCAGCAGCCCGTTGGCCCTAAACCCTATACCCCTAACCCTGAACCCTAAACCCTGCTCTAGACCCTAGACCCCTAAACGCCTGACGCTAAACCCCTAACCCCAAGCCTAAACCCTAAACCCCTAAACCCTAAAGCCCTGCACCCCAGACCCCTGAACCCTAAACCCCTAACCCCAAAACCCTAAACCTGAAGCCCTATACCATAAACCCTAAACGCAAGACGTTGTAGTTTGGAGTCTCAGACTTCACGAAAAGTCGGACGTAGTTTAGTTTGCAGGACAGGCAACCGGGGCTTGGAGCCAGCATTTAGGGATAGGGTTTCAGGGCTAAGGTTTTAGGATTTGTTGGGGTTAAGATTTCGGGTGTCAGGTTTAAGATTTGAGTTTCGGGGGTTAGGGTTTAGTGCAAATCGTAGGGTTTAGGGCTTAAAACTTCGGGTTTAGGGTTTAAGATAAAGGGTTCCGGTCTATGGTTTCAGCTTTAGAGTTTAGGGTTTAAGCATATCAAAGGAGTTTGATGCATGTTCAGATGGTTTAGGGTTCCTCAGCTGGCTCATGAGGTCACCCAGGACTCGGTGAATCAGCAGTATGTGAAAGCAGACCTTAACCTAAGGGTCCCAAACACCCTAATACTTAGGGGTTAAATTTAGGGTTTAGGGGTTTAGGGTTAGGTACTTGCCTTTGGGAAAGTTTTGCCTGATGGGTAGGCCTTGAACACCCCACTCTTCCTCAAAACCTAAATCGCCAAAAGTCGAACAACTCCTAAGTCTCAAGACGTGATTACAGCTCGAAGCCCTCAGAGCACGAATCCTAGAACTTTACTGCGAATACTAAATCCTGAAGCCCGACTACCCTGAAACCAAAACTCTAAACCCACAGTCACATCCCCAACATCGCGTCTTCAAATCACCGACATCGGGCTCCCAGCACTTGCGGGCTTAATGATTTACAGTCTTACCGCCGAAACCCGAGAGCAAGCCCGAAAGCCCCCAAGCAGCAATAGCTTTCCAAGGTGGCCGAATCGAACAGCTTCAGAAATGCAAGCGCCCCGCTCAGAGCGACATCTGGGAGCCCCCTAAACACCCCAAGCCCATTAGGTTTCGGTATCCCCTTGACAACTAAGCAGCCTTGTATACACTCATCAATACCCGTCATATTATAAACAACACCTTCTGTACTTTCACAGCACATGTTCTTGAACGCAGATGTGGCATTCGAAGTGTTTGGCACGTACTTAGGGTCTTGCATAGACCTGGCTAACCGGCTAACCACCCAACAAACTACATCTAGCAACTAAAGAGAGGGTCCATCATGAATAAAACTCTCATTTCTTATGCAGGGTTCACCATGATAGCTACCAGATTACGAATTCCAAAACCCTTTTCTAATCATGGCTGAGGCCGCAAACCCTATAAACCCTAAGTTCCAAAGTCCAAGTTTGGGCCGAGACTGTCAAATCGAAGCCTGCAAAATGAAACATCACCACTATTGTTTTCCTTAGGGGTCCTCAGTCCCTAAACCCTAAACCCTAAACCCCTAATCCCTAAACCCCTAAACCCCTAAACCCTAAACCCTAAACCCTAAACCCTAAACCCTAAACCCTAAGCTTAGTCCTGGTTATACCTTCCGAAGCCCCGTGCAGGCGCACTGAGCTCCCAGGTCTGCGGAGCGCTGTTATTATATGGTCAGCATAACCCTAACCCTGAAGGTACCTACTATATAGGGCCCTATAGGTTTAGGGTTCAGGGTTCAGGGTTTAGGGTTTAGGGTTTAGGGTTTAGGGTTTAGTATAGGGGCTCTAGTACCCTATATAGGCGGTACCTGGGGGGTTAGGGTAATGTACCCCAAAACCCTGTTCGAATTGTCAGGGCCCCTACATCAGCGGACCATAGGGGGCCCTGAGCCCGCAGTGTATGGTCTTCCCAGTGAAGATCTCGCGGCTGCCCTCATAACTCTCCTGGCAAGAAGAGCAAGAAGCCGAGGACAGCATGCCGCGGGGCACATCCCGATGGATCGATCGCGAGAGCGCTGGGGTGCCTCCTGTTCGCATCACAACAGGAGGCTGGAATGATTTGAACCAGTACCTGGATGGCAACTTTCGTGGTGTGCAGTGCAGGCACTTTCGCCTTATGCACCTGCCACTCTTGGAAAGAGTGTACAATGAGGCGTACTACATGGAAGAGGCATCGGGCAGCGTTTGAGCGAGCCTCCTTTGCTTCTTGCGAACCATACAAGTTTCCTGACCTGGAGTCGGGAAACTCTCGGCACTGCAACACACAAAGCGCTACGCCGGTTTGGGGTTTAGGTTCTGGATTGATGGGTTAGGGTTTGCGGTTTGGGCCTTAGGGTTTAGACCACAAAAACCCAAGCAGTTTGTGGTTCAATTCCCGTGCAGGGATGATTTCAGGGAATACGGACTACATTAGGGACCCAAAGAGGACATAAGCATAAGCATTTTATCGGGATATCCCTACCTTATTGGGCTTCATTATAAGGGGGGTTCTATGGGACATCCCTATCCTAATTTTTGCTTATGTGCTTTTCTGGGGCCCTACTATAAGCATGTTGCAAGGGTCGTTTGGTCCGGAATGATAGTATAGGACATAGAGTCCCATATTCCTTCGGGTCTTTGGCTTTTTGCTTTGAGGTCTAATATAGGGGGCTTCGTAATTACCTATACTATTTGTTTTTTTTTTGGGGGGGGGTCCTTATTATAATTGTAGCATAATGAACCCCAACACCCTATTCTAATTATTACGGCCCC